CCTAAAGTTGCCTAAGGTTGTATGGAGATTTGATAAACCACGCATGCCCCAGCTCGCTCCTAGAACTACTCTACTAGAATCAGGACCTCCAGGGCAGATCATTCATCTGTAGAAGACATCACATGCGGTTCTGAAGGTTCCTCAGCTTTGAAGTTGTAGGGAACTGTCTGTGAGTTTTCAAAATTCTCAGTGCCCAAGCCACACTGAGTGTCCAGTCATGACAAAATCTCTGGCCTGCAACTCAGGCAGTTCCCTGGTGACTCCATATACAGGGAGGGGTGGACCACTGACTGGATTTTTTCCAGATCAGTAGTTCTGGGATATTAGTGTACACAGGAATCTGATGAAAATGCGGGTTCTAACTCAAGACTGGAGTGGGGCTGGACAGCCTGCATTTTTTAACGCTTGGACCACAGCCCAAACAATGAGTTAGAGGGATCTAACTACAAATTACCTTTTATTATTTAACATGAACTGAGTACAATGACTATCATGAGCTTAGACAGTAAAGACTTGTCCATCCAGGATGGTTAGTGAAATCTGGCAGGAGTATCACCACAAGCCTTGTCATAAAAAAACAAACAAATGTTTGTGCTACTCCCTGGCTCTGCCATGGAGTGGTGCTGACAAGAGCTCGAATGCCATGTGTTGAGAGAAGAGTCAGTAAAACCTCCTCCCTGCCTGTCATCAGTAGAGGCCTGGCTTATCAGGCTACTGGAGCTATTGTTTTAAAAGCTGTTATTTTGGAAGGACACAATTTGTCACGCAAAGTAATTCAAACTTTCAGATCCTTCTGTCCCAGATATGAAAGATATATTATAAGAAAGTTTAGAATTATCTGCTTTTCTTTTCGTGTGCTCCCCCAAGATATTTGTACTCTGCTCACTCCCGGAGGCCCACACATTTGCAAGCTGCTCTATCCTACCTTTTCCTATCTTTTCTTATCTTGCTTGCCAGCACCTAAGCCAAACTTGAACACATGATTTCATGACACCATCAGCTCAGATCTGCTTAGTACAGAGGAGGTAAATCTGCTGTTATTTAAAATATAAGTGGGAGCTTGTGGGTGAGGGTGGCAGTGCCACCTTAGGAAGCATGAATACATCTCTTAGTATTAACTTCTTGACTTCAAGGTCTTGGTCTCTATGTCTGCCTTAGTCTTTCTTTTGAAACCAATCAATCCTCAGATTGTGAACATTTAAATCCAGGAATGATAACACACCTAGACTGATCCTTTTATTCTGAATAACACAAATACTTCTACCAATAACTGCCTCTTAGAAACCAAAACACCCGTGGTTTCTTTAACCTCTAATGCACCTGGGTTTATCTGTTCTAACAGGTCTATCCACACCCTTCTTTCTTAGCTAGACCCTCAGCTCTTAGATGTGGAATTAATGTTGTCATGGCCACTGGTAAAAATCCCTGGTAAAGAGGTGGTCAAACTTTTACTGACGTTAGACAGAGAATGAGACTCTAACATATTTATTGAGCACTTACCAGGTGCCTAGAAATGGTTAACTGCTCTTTTTAAAAATAGGTATAAAAATCACACAATTATCTCAATAGATGCATAAAAAGAATTTCACAAAGTCTAACACTGACTCATGATAAAAAAAAAAAAACTACAGAAAATGGGAATAGATTTCAATCTGATGAAAACTATCTGTGATAATCCAATAGCCAACATCATACTAAATGCTCAAAATTGAAAACTTTTACTCTAAAATCAGGAACACACAAGGACATCTGCTATCACCACTCCTATTCAATATAGAAAAATTAACCAGAGCAATTGGACAAGAAAGAAATAAAGGGACTATAAATAGAAAAGAAAGAAGTTAAATTATCATTTTTTGCTGGTGACATAACATTCTACATAGAAGACCCCAAAAACTCCCCTGAAAGACATCTAGAATTAATAATGAAATTTGACAGCGTAGCTGGATACACACCAATAGCATTTCTGTACTGAAACAACAGATGCACTGAGAGAGAAACTAGGGAAATCACACCCTTCACAAGGGTATCAAGAAAAATTAAATACTTAAGACTCAATCTAATGAAGAAGTGAAAAACTTATGCAGTAGTGTGAAAAAGGAGATCAAAGAGAATATCACAAAATGGAAATGATATCCCTGTTCTTCGGTAGGAAAAGTCAATATATAAAAATGGCCATCCTTGCAAAACTGTTATACAGATTTAATGCAGTCCCAATCAAAATACCAGTAGCATACCTCACAGAACTAGAGAAAATAATTCTAAAATTCATTTGAAACCAGAAGAGGCCTAGAAGAGCAAAGACAATCCCAGGCAACAAAGACAAGACAGGGGGCACCACAATTCCCAATTTGAATTTTGCAAAGCTACCATGATTAAAAAAAAACAGTGTGGTACCAGCAAAATAAGATCCAAAGATCAATGGAACAGAATAGAAGATGCAGAAACAACTCTAATCAGTCTCAGCTACCTTAAAACTTTATGAGGAAAACCTTGATCACACAGGAAATATTACAAAGAATCAACAACTGGGATCTCATCTTATTAAAAAGCTTTTGTACAACAAAAGAAAGCATCAAAAGAGTGAAGAGACAACCCAAAGAGTGGGGGGAAAATTACCAACCAAAGACTAATATAGAATATATGAAAAACTCAAAAAAAATCAGACCTCCCAATGTAAAGACCCAGTCCAAAAATGGGCATCTGAAACAAACAGACACTTCTCAGATGAAGACCTAGAAACAGAAACAGCAATTAAATATACGGAAAACTATTCAGCATCACTGGTGATTTGAGAGACGCAATTAAAACAATGCTAAGATTCTATCTCAATCCAGAAAGAATGACTATTATCAAGAAATCAACCAATGGCAAGTACTGATAAGACTGTAGGAAAAAAAAGGAACCCTTCTCCACTGTTGGTGGAAGTGTGATTGGTACAACCAATATGGAAATCAGTATGAAGTTTCCTCGAAAAATTAAAACTAGAGATTCCTTTTGACCCATCTATTCCCCTTCTTGGTATCTTTGCAAAACAATTAAAAGCATCATACTACAGTGCTGTATGCACACTCATGTTTATAGCAGCACACTCTGCAGTAGCTAAATCTTAAAAACAGCCTAGAAGCCCATGCATGGATAAAGAAAATGTGGTTTTTATGTGCAGTAGAATACCACTCTGACATAAATAAGGATAAACTTTAGCTATTTTTAAGTAAATGAGTGTACATTGAGAACATGTGTCTAAGTGAAATAAATCAGACACATATGATTAAATATTGCATGATTCTCTTATGTGAGAAATTACAGGTGTAAGTGGGGCCAAAATAGGTAATAGGTAATGGGAAGTAGAAATAAAATGTTCAAATGGGAAGGAGAACAAGGGAGGGGAAAAGGGAAGGGCAGAGGGAGGAAAAGAGGAAATGGAAACAATGCTTTTGTAAATAAGGAGGAGAGGGCGTTGAAGGGAGGGAAAGAAAAAAGAAAAATGGGGTAAAAGGAAGAATCAAACTATACTATGTACAAGTACAAATTCCTTATGATGAATGTGATCTTTATCTCAAAAGTGTATCAATGAAATTAATTTTTTTAAAATGCAAAACTAGGTATAAAGCATTGTCAGTAAATGGTATTGGAATAAAGGAACATCCACAGGCAAAAAGTGAACCTCAATATAAACCTTATGTCTTCATCAAAAATTAAATCAAAATGAATAATAAATTTAAAGCTGTGAGGCTGATAGAAAAATAATCATCTGCAGGAGCTAAGGCTGATCAAAGACTTCTCTGTCTCTCCGTTCAATATCTCAGCTCTAGTGATAGATATAAGAACCTACATAGTGGTAAATACCTATAGTGTATGTGTGTATGCGCACACACACACTGAGGATTGAACCAAAACCTTATATACTCTACCACAGAGCTATGCCCCAGTCCCAATATCTGTAGCTATTAATAAGTGTGCACACACACACACACACACACACACACACACACACACACACGAGAGTACAAGTAAAATAGGGGAAATCTGAGAAAGATCAGACAATTGTATCAAAGTGTTCATCCTGGTTGTGATGTTAAGTAGTAATTTTGCAAGATGTTATCACTGAAGGAATCTGTACAAAGTATACAGCCATCTCTCTGAATTTTTTTTTTTTTTTTTTGTAACAGGAATCAAGCTCAGGACCTCGGGCTTGCTGGACAGGCTATGTGCTGCTGACTTAAATCTCCACGCCTCTGAATTATTTCTTACAACTACATGTGAATGTGCATTTGCCTTAATAAAAACTTCAGTTAAAAACAGGTGTAAAACCAATAGAAGCCACCCTTCAGGAAAGAAAGCCAAGGCTGTAGGTGAATTGCCAGCATTCACGAGGGAACCCAAATATACAAGGCAGGGGTTGCTTTTGTAATATACTAATCCATTCCCAAGTCCAAAAGAGCCAAAAGAAATGCATCCCATTAGCAGGGAGCTGGCAGAGCTCATGAATGCAACCAAAGATGGTGAAAGCAACCAAAGAATACGCTCTGGAAAATAAAGGCTGTCAGACGGTTGAAAGAAATGATCATTGGGTAATACCCTACTAGGCATTCAATCTTCTATTATACAGACACTAATTTATTCAAGGATTAGGTGACTATTATGTGACAGGTACTATTCCAGGAACTTGTGATTTATCAGTGGCAGAACACACTGAACGAATTTCCTTCTATTTGGAGTTCACTTGTTTGCTTAGACCTTATTTTGGTCTGAAAGACGCTTAGCTCCCAGAACCAGACAATCCATATCCATACTGTACACTTGGAATCTCAGGCCCCCAACAGGAATGAATACCTCTCAAGGACGAAGTTAGGCGTCTCTACAGAAGGACACCCAGAGCACTTCTGATTTAACAGTGAGAATGATCTTACCCCAGGGAAGCTAGGGAAAGAAACTTAAGATGAGCAGATTGGCAGGCCTTGCCTCTGAGTTGAGTCAGGAAAGCGAACTCAAAGCCAGGTGAAGAGTTGGCAGTGTGACCCTTGAAAAGGATTCAAGTTAGCCCGGGGTACCCTGTATTTTCCACTCCCAAACAGGGATTAATTTTGGAATCTTCCATAAATGTATGGAAACTGGGGGCTTTCCAACTCTAGCCTGGGTAAGAGCTACTTCAAGACAAACCATAACAAGATGGCCTTGTATTGTAAAAGAGAGAGAGCAAGGCAAGAAGTAGATACACTTGGGGATGTATTTTTAGGTAGGGAAAATTTTGCAAGAGGCTGTGTTTATAGATCATAAAATTAGAGATAATGGAATTTTTCTCAGGATGCTAAAAGCAATATGCAGTGAAGATTTACTGAAAGATAAGCTGCTGATCACTATTTCTACAGAAAGCCAGCTCAAGGTAAGTGAATCAGGCAAGACTCAAGAATAGGCAAGTTTATTAATATTGACTCTAATTCAGAATTTTTAACCATCTAAAATTTGTAGGTACCCACAAATTCAAAGATCTGAGAATAAGTATTTATAATGTTTATGGATTTAGTTATGAAAAGATTTACTAGATTTTTTTCTGAATAGTATTATGAAAAATCTCACTAAGTTTTCAATGACTCTTACTTTTTAAAACCACCTTTGCAATAATAATTAGCCATTTTCTATCTCTTTGGCCATATTTTATAGTGATTGGTTTTGAGCTCATTTTTAGCTTAAAGTTGCACAGAAGTGTTCCAGAATGTCCAACTCACATTCAAATTTCTGCTATCCCATAAGTGAGGTCAGTTCTACTACTGACCATTGCAAGGTGAGACATGGTCCCATTCCATGCAAGGTATTCTTAGGCTTTCTGAACAGGGATATATACAGTTCTGAGGTAACTGCCTGCAAAGCACAGGTCAAGGTAAAGTGAGTATGTATTCATGAACACATTTGAGAGAATGGACAAAGTGTCCCATTGGAATGTTCAGAGATTGCACACATTAGATGACCTTAGAAGAGATGGCCTATTTTATTTAGCTTTGTTGCTAGTAAATGAGTGAGCCTGCTGGTCACAGGGGCTTTTGATCTCAGTATTCAGTTTAGCATAAACCAATGTCGGTAATAGAATTCTTCCCTTCTGCTCCTTGAAGTTTTGAGCACTGGAGGAATCAGAATTGTCTCCCATGGTAATGAGTTCAAAACTGATATTGTCAATAGCTACTTTTCCCACAACTTACTTTTTCTCACCCCCAAACTTTAATAATAAAGGCAATTTGTCCAACGAAACACTCTCAGTGTATAAATAGCTATAAAAAGGCCCTTAACAAGAAAAGAAATGTTGTATGTAGCCACATTAAAATTAACATTGACAGTTTATTTTATATGTTTTGACCAAACCACCTCCATAAATTTATCGTGGGTATGAATCTATGGTTACCAATGTGTGAGCTTCTAAGTAGCATGTTTAAAGAATTATATAGCATCAAACAGGCTTGCCTGCAAAAAATGAAATGTACAATTATGACTTTTTTCTGGGTAATTTGACAAGCAAAATACATCTTGGTCAAAAGCTTCCTAAGATCTGGAAATTCTGAGGTGAGCTATTTCATAACAAATTCCTTAGAAATCAGTGTATTAATTATTTGTTATTTCAAAGTTGAGTAAATTGTATTGGGGGATATTTGGTTTTCTTTGGATTTTCTAGTCTTCTAGAAAAATAAGATTCCTACTACTACAAGTTTGCAGAAAAGGAGAACATGAAGTATAATAAAATAATTGATACATAACTTTTAAAAGATATGTATTTTAATGAAAGTCAAGATGTTCTTTATAGTCAGCATCAGTGCAAAGCCCACTTGGAATACTTTAATATAAAAATAGACTTAAAATATAAGTGATATGTCAAGTACAATATTCTTTATGTGTTAATTATTTGTATTAATATATTTTCATCTCTTTAAAATTAATATCAATATTAAGGGAGAATAAATCTTCTCCCAATGTTTTCTTGGCTTCTTTTATATTTTACGGTCTAAGAAAAGCAAAATACAGCAAACATTCAATCAAAAATATCCCACCATGGCAGCAAAATGGACTTGGCTTACTTTCTCTAGCATTACAAAGTGAGTCCTATAAGCCTTTCAGACACACTGATATCTTTTCATTTATATTATGAGTTGATTAAAGTTGAACCTACCATTTTCAAAGTGTACCCCAAAAATAACCAAAAAGAATAGTTTTTTTTTCCCCTTTAAAGGCTACACTCAAAACCTTTGCTTGAGAAACTTTTTGAATAGTGAACATTGCCTAGTAAAACACATGCAGTAGACAAAATATCAGATTTCTTTTTCCAGCTGTCCAGAATCCCATTAGTGCCTCTCACTTCTATCAGTGTTTTGCTATAATTAGGATGGCTTAGGGTTTATCTGGGCGTTTTTTCAAAACCAGATTTCCTTCCTAGCAGCAGCGGCTGTCATTTACAAGTACCCTGATAGTATTGTGAGGCTTATTTTGATTTTCATTATGGTGTGGGAACGTCAGTGGTGAAGTGAAGGGACACACACACACACACACACACACACACACACACACACATGCCCGCAGTCACTTTTACTCTTACAAAATTTAAAAACAGGTCTTACCTGAGGATGATCACTCTGGTCTGGAGTCTGGCTCGTTTCAACTAGGTTACTAACCCTCAGCCCTTTCCTCTGGAATCCTGTGTCCCCTTCCTTGGATAGTGAGCCTGCTGAAAGTTGTAAGGTTTTTGTGTCTTGCTCTGCAGGAGAGAAAAGGAAGCAGGAATTCCAGCCAGGAATCCCTGCTGTGGCGTAAGGAGTCTCCTCTTGATTGCTCCGCATTAGTGGGGCCTTAGGGGGTCCCTTGGGAGGAGGACTCCGGGCACCTTCTGCTGCACTGCCTTGCAGGGCCAACTTCTTGCTTTTCCCCTTCACTTGGGGTCGCCATACCCTGGCAGATTTCTGGCTGCTTCTTTGGCTGCCTAGGTCCTTTTTCTCTGCTCTTTCCTCCACCACGATTTCCAAACTCTGCTTCATGCCTGATCTTTCTGACCCCCCAGACAAGGGCTTCATCTCCAGCTCTGGTGCCGCTTTATCCATGGTTAGCAGATTGTCACTGGCAAATTCCTCTCCTGCTTGGTGGCTGTCTCTGGTTTCTTCTTGAATTCCTGGACAATCATTCTCAGCAGCCTCAGAAGCAATGGGGAGTGGACAACTCTCCTGTCCGGTCACCATAGCCATTCCATCTTGGTGAGATCTGAGAGGAAGAGTCCTCCCTGTCCTCAGGGACGACAGACTGTGTCTGGAGGCACCACTGCTCCTGACCCCCACTTCTTGGGATTGTGAGTGATAAGCACAGAAGCCAGTGGTGGCATCCATAGGCCCTGTGTCACCTGACACCCGAGGCCCACAACCCATTTCACTGAGGAAATGTTCACACCCACCCAGGATGTACTCACTCAATTCCATCTCTTCGTCATCGCTTTCTAATAAAAAAACATGCTCAGTCCCCTGCAGGCTCCTTTGCCAAACTGCATTAGAGTAATCCGTCATAACATCGGAACATTCCAGATACTCCAGGTCATCATCTGAAAACTCCTCAGTGTAAGTTAGGGATATCTCTGGACAAAGTTCATAATCACTGTCAGAATCCTCGCTGGAAACTGGGGGGCTGGGTTGCTTATTGACCAAAGCACACTCACCTGGGTAAATGCATGCGGTTGCCTCTGACAGTGGAAGGCTGAAGCTAATGTATTTCTGAGCTTTGGGCTTTTGATGACTAGAGTTTAAGATTTCGCCATTAGGGCCATCATTATTTAGGTTGTCATCCATTAACAATGAGACTGAAGGTGGTGCTGTCCATTGGTGGTTTGGGGAAATATCATTTGAATTAAGGAAATTTTCTTCTGTGTTATTTGAATCATGAACCTCTGCAGTTTGCCTTGTTTCTTCATCCAGAGGATTTTCAGAACTGGGTTCAGTAAGGTTATCATTGGCCAATAACTGGGGTGAGCATAAGCAGTTGAATTTGGGTGGGGAGGAATCAGCAGACAGAGCCACCGAGGACATACTTTCTTCTTCTTTACAGGGGTGTTCCTTCTCATGGGTTTGATGTGTGCATTCCTTCTTAGAGGTCTCTGTTCCATGTTTCCAGCCTGTGTCCCTGTCATCTCCCAGGTTAGGAGGGAGTTGTGGGTTCTCCGATGGGCACTCGACCTCAACAGAAGCAGAACAGCAAATCATTCCCAGGCAGCTTCTAGCAGAGATCTGGTAAACAGCAGCATCACTTCTGGAACAGCTAAGATGAAGAGAGAACACAGAGGTGAGTCTGGACATAACAACAACATTTTTCACAGCATGGCTCATGACAAGATGACAGTCTTCTCATTGCATGTTCAAATCTGTTGTGTCCCTGGGAACGGGCTTGCGGCTAAGGATGGCTGGTCACTGGGCTCTGGCTGTTGCTAGTGCTGAGATCCTGAGAGGCCCAGCTTTTCACAGTCTGACTTCAATTTAAAAATGTGGAGATTCATTTAGATGAAAAGAAAAGATTTTATATTCTAATTTCTTCTCTCCTTAAAATTATTTTTATGTTGTAAGAATTTAAAAGAATATTATTTTTCTCGAGTGAGATATCATACACAAATAACTAAAGTATTCTTTCTCATGTGCTAGAACAATGTCATTAATGGCTCTTCTTTAAGATCATACTAATACTAAGAAGGTTTGCTTCTAGCCAGGAGGTTGTAAACATAACACCCTAACAGGATTATGTATATGAGGGACAGTATCATTCCTTCCTTAATGTAAGGAAGATCTAAAAGCACAACCATGAGCTCCATTGGCTGGAAACCTACGTCCTCATGTCATCCTGGCTAAGGTACATCAAGCCAAGTGTTCGGCTTTGGTCCAGCAGGGAAGGAACAAAATTCTGGATCAGCCTGAGGCTGCGCTCCCTGTTCCAGGAGCTATGCTTCTTTGGCTCTGTTTTTTAGTGACTGGAGCCACCTGGAGTTGGAAGCCTGGTGTGCTTTACTGAAAGCTATGGTGGGGCGCTCTGCACAGCTGCATTGCTGATAAAAGCAGTTACATGTGTTGTGTAACACTACGCATCATCCATCTATGCATATTGAAACTGCCAATAAGCATTTTCAGGATGTAGGAGCTTTGGGTCTGGCTTGAACTTAGAAGCAGTGCTTAGACCTTTATTGGTAATTCTCTGAAAACTAATTCTAATTTGGCTAAGAAAATATGACCTTTGTTCCAGTTTCACATCATACATGTCATTCCTTTACAAACCTTTTCAATTAATCCTATTTTTTATTTGTTCATTTTATTTTACTAAGGTATAAAATATGTACAATCTCTAACTTGAAAGGGGTCAGTGTTCAACACAGACCACTCAAACATCACCCTCTTTGCCATTTTTCTTCCTCACTTGAGGGAGCCCTTTGCCTTCTTTAGCCCATACTTTTTATCAGCCCTCCATCACTAGGCGCCTGCTCACATGAACCTCATTTTCAGAAATCAGAGGTGAACTTCACTGTCAAGAATGTCTTGTTTCATTGGTAACCAGGCCATGACCTATAGTTGATGTCTGGCTCTGCCTTGGTCAGGGAGACTGAAATTTTAGGCAACTTTCTGGAAAGTTTCTCTTCCTATTTCACAAACTGATTCATGTTCAACTGATAAAATCAGTGTACAAGCCTCTTATGCCAGATATGCTGTCTGAGAATGTGGACATGTCAAGACGAAACATCCTCTGGTTCTTTAGAAGTGTGCAGAAGAATCATCAGAGAACTCTACTTAAAATTCCTGAATCAAAATCCCTGGATAAGGGAACTAAGGATATGGGGTTTTTTGTTTTGCTTTTTATTTTAAAGAGATTAAGACAAAAGAGGGCAGAACAAAGCAAATCAGAACAATGTAAGCAACACAGTACTTCACTACAAGACAACCCGATATTAACAGTAGCTGCCATAATGTCACTTTCTTTGAAGTAGTTGAGCATACCTTCACATACAATAGTATCAAACATAACAGTATCAAACCATTCAAGAGAATGAAAGTACTACAGGGCATTCAGAACCAAATAACAGAAAACAAACAATGGCTACTATACCATCTCATTTTCCATAAAAAATTTGTTTATACTATCACACATATTAAAATCCAGTAAGATACAACATGTTAGAACCAATGGAAACAGAAGAACAAAAGCATAGTGTAAGGGATATGTTTTTAAAGACATTGAGTCATTCTAATATGAGTGGTCTTTGGGTCCTCTTAGAAATTTCTTCATCTTCATCCTCACTAATGAGACTTTGACCTTCTCAGTTAAAGCTGAATCTTTTGGGCTGGGGCTATAGCTCAGTGATAAGCACTTGCCCAGCACATGTATAAGACCCTGGGTTCAATCCCTGGTACTACAAGAGAGAAAGAAAGACTAAATATTTTTAGCTGAGGAAATGTGAACTCTGCTACCATTTCACATTATAAACATCCCCCTTCATGAATCTTTCTAATTAAGTCTATTTGTTTATTTGTTCATTTTGTTTTACCAATGCTTGAGATAGAACCCAGAAACCCACACATATCAGGAAAGCACTCTATCACTGAGCGCTCAATTAGTTCTTGGACATTTGGTCTCAGCTATGAGTTTCCATGGAACATAAAAGAACTCTATGGGCGTCAGGTCAGTAGCTGCTGCTGCCCCTGTCTACAGCTGCAGCTGGGGCAGTAGGCTGGGGCCTCTACCGCAGACCAAGGGGAGCCAGCTCTGCTCGGCGCCAACTTCTGCGACCTGGCTGTCAGCCCCACATCGCTGGCCTGGAGGGGCGATGAGGACGAGGGAGCCCAGGCTTCCTCCGGGGCCATCAGCTCTCTGGGTTGTCAGGCGTTTGTAGTTGACATTGAGTCCAGGCTGAGGATGGAAGGTGTGGAACTGAAAAATAGTGGCAAGATGAAGATATTCTGATACCTTTACCAGAAGATGATAGTATTGAAGCAGATCTGCTCGATATACCTGGACCAGAGAGCCATCCTGACTCACCAGAAGTAACAGAAATAAAGTGAAAAAGAAATTAATGGCTCCAGACATCAGCCTGACACTGGAACCTAGCGATGGCTCTGTGTTGTCAGATGATTTGGATCAAAGTGGAGAGATCTACTTAGATGGCTTGGACACCCCATCAGAGAACAGTAATGAATGTGAGTGGGAAGGTGATCCTCCAAAACCCAAACTACTGAAGTCATTAGGAAAGGCTCAGTGACTGAGCACACTCAGCAGAGGAGAAGGAGGACCGCGATGCTGGCCGTGTTCAGATTGGCAAGCAGGACCACCGGATTGACGTGAAGGCAATCGAGCCCTACAAGAAAGTCATCAGCCACAGAGAATATTATGGGGATGGATTAAACGCCATTGTTGTGCTCATTAAACGCCATTGTGATAGAACTATAGAGGGGAGGAAGAGGAGGAGGAGGACTGGCGGTGGCTGAAAAGATAAGAAGTATAAAATATAAGTAAACTTTATTTTGGGAATGCGGGGAGAGACACCCCCGACCCCCTGGGGTGTGGCATCTCCACCCCGGGGCTAGTGATCTCTCCGTGGAACACGTGGAGTGAGGCACATAAGTAGCCTCAGCCTTGGGTGGAACCCAAGGGGGCATTAGGGATGCACAGGTAGCCCATTGGTCTAGTTTGGCGCCAGAGGTAATTTCTAAGGGTGGGGGGAGATAGGAGCTCCTTGGCTTTACCGGCTACAGTATCCGGCCTGGGCCAGCAACCCTTTCATATCCCGTTTTATGGTTATTATGAAAAGGGGCGAAGATTTCTCTCTTTAACTACTTCCTGCTGGCTGAGGGCGCTGTATTGGGGTCTAGGGGAGTCGACGGGATGATGGTTGATGTCTAGGTAGAAGCTGGTGCCAGGAGTTTTAGCCAGGACAACTCCACTGGTGAATGCAAGTATGTTAGACTGAAAAAAACAAAGAGACAAGATGTTATGAGGAGACATGGCACTGTCATATTTACGGTCCCAAGTGAGGTAGAGGGAAAGGTATCTTTAATTTAGACATGTTATTTTATCAGGATGACATTGAGGTAGGAACATTTTTATGGCAAGGCAGAATTCTGAATAATTAAACATGGGATTAGGAGGGGTGAAGTTATGAGAGGTGCTTATTCCCCCATATGAAAGCATAAAAGTTAAAAGGTAGGTAGGTAAGGCTTGTCTCTGGTATATATGACGTTGGAGTCTGTAGGCAATCCTGTTAGAGAGTCCTGCTGTAAAAATGATCATTAATAGAATGTAAGAAATTAAGAACCAAAGTGGATAATAAAACATGACAACCTGTGAGTCGTAAGGCAGAGATGAGTACCAAAAGGATGGTTAGATCTACGGCCTGAGTGCTGTGAAACCAGGATGGCAGTCTAGCAACTTTGATTGCTGTTGAGGTTACCAAGAATATCAGGTATGGGTCGCTGTGACCTAGTTGTAGTCTTGGGAATGGTTTTGTTGTAACAGAACTTTAGCAAGTATATCAGCAGTTTCCCTGGTTGTGAAAAAGGCTTTTATGTATCCTGAAAAAGTATAAACAAAGTGAGAAGAGAAAATGTGTCTGTCAGCCTGTATAAAAGGGAATAAAAGCATTTTAAGATTTAGGACTGGGACCTGTATAAAATAGGCCCTGTTTGTAACTAGCATAGGTTGACCTTTAATACTCCATGAGACATTGAGGATTTATTAGCCTGAAAACTCAGTAAGAACTCTGTATATGTGGCCTCTTAAGTCCACGAATATAGAGAATGTCTTACCTTGAGAGTTTTAATGTGAGTTGGACTCTGAGACAGACACCCACAAAGGCAGTTGGTCCCTGTCAGTCTCTGGCAGCAATTTTTGTCAGTGATGAATCTGGCAGTGACCTGTGAGGGCTAGAAGTTAGGATGGCCCAGCCACTCTCTGGTAGTCAGGATAGCCCAACAGCCCTGGAGTAAGGTCTCCTCAAAGAATGCCAGGATGGGGCATTTTGTCCGATGTCTTCTGCTGCATTTGAGCGTGGCCCATGGCAGGGGGGGGCAAGTAGCTTTACCTTGTGTAGATTTGTCTGTCTCAGAGCTATAAGTGTTATTTAAAATATGAAAAACCATATCAAGGTCTCTGTGGAGCTTGAAGGTCAAGTTTTGCCTTGTTGTTTGAGATCTGGACTATAGTTAAAGCTATCTGTAGAATTAAGTAAGTATGTAGGAGCTTAATATTGGCATTTAAGATTATAAAGCAGGCTTTATCTGGATGTTATATCGCTTTTTATAGGGTGCCATGTG